CTATACACACACACATATATATAGAAGAAGTTGGTTAACTAATAGGTTAAGATTTCTAATTATTTTCAGCTTTAAACAAGATAGGTATATATAATATTTATGCATCAGTTAAGAGAGGAATTGTTGAGATTATTTTTATTGGCTTCTACTGCATCCTTCCAAACATTGGCTTCAATCAAGCTGAAGCTGTAGGTCAAGTTCTCTTCGTCAATTGCCTCAATCTTTTGCTTCGCATAACTGAGTTCTTTGCCTGCAAGTACAAAAATCAGTTTTTTACTTCTTTATGCGGTGCACACAGCGAGTGCTATGTGGATTTCAATATAGTTAATTTAATTTAAAGTAATTGCAACAAATAATATACCAACCTTCAGCAAAAGTGATCTTCCTGATGGTTCCAGGCCCTCCATTTCCTTCAATTATGTCAGAGCTCCTAATGTGCTCTGGTAGAATTTTAGGCAAAAGAGTGTCGGTCTCAAGGCAGTATGCCTTGAAAAGCTTGGCTGGGGCGACAGCAACAGCAAACTCATTTTCCAAAGTGATAACACCCATTGTAACTTAGGATTTTAAAAGACTGAGAAGGGGGGAGAGATTTTGTTGATTCGGAAGATGTTTTTGTGATGCTGAAACAAGAGGAGGAGAGGTAGTATTTATAGCATGAAATTGAAAGGATCTCACATGTGTCGATGAGCAGTGCTAATTAATTCTTCATATTCTGTTCTTGGTCATTATTTGTTTAAATGAAATAATTTATGTCCTGGTCAAATAAATCACCTATGAAACCATATAAAATTCTAATTGACTATGCATGCTCTCCAACCATTTGGAAAATCCTAGCACATCAATTTTATGGAAGATAACTATATATTTACGACTTGAATAATTCCAAACTGACTTGAATTTCTACAGATGGTTTCGTTGAGTTGTTTTAGTATTTATATAGTTAATCAAATACCCATATCTAGGTTTAAAGCTTACAGAGGCGGCCTAAATTTTATATTTAAGCAATATTTTCTCAATTTTTATTAATCTTCTCTCTCTCCCCCTCCCCCTCCCCATATATATATATATATTATAAAACGCGTGGGGAAGCACTATACTTATATATTATAATTGTAATTGTAATTATAATAATATAACTTATATATTATAATTATACTTATAATAATAATATAAACTAAAATACTTTGAGCTGTCTTTTTTTTTTATTATTATTTTTATGTCTTTATTGGTGTTTTTTTTTTGCTTTTTTCTTTGTGTTTTTTTCTTTTAATAATTTTTTAATTTAGTTTATTAATGTTAAAAAAAAATTGTTTAGTTATCAGATTTTCATGATACGTATCCTGAGTTTGACAGGTTAACTTAGTATGATGGGTTAACTTAGAATTTTTTTTACTATTTTTCTTTTTAATTAATTATTTTCGTTTAGTTTGGTTTGTTAATGTGTACTTCCCCATGCCTATCTTATATATTATAATTATACTTATAATAATATAATAGTAAAAACTATAATACTAAAAAAATTTGAGCTGTCTTTTTTTTCTTTTTTTTGTTTTCATTTTTTTTTGTTTTTTATGCTTTTATAGGTTTTTTTTTTTTGCTTTTTTCTTTGTGTTTTTTTTATTTTAATAAAATTTAGTTTGTTAATATTAATTTTTTTAGTTATCAAACTTTCATAACAAAGATCCCGAATTTGTCGGGTTAACCCAAAAAAAATTTTATTTTTTTTAATTAATTTTTTTCGTTTAGTTTGGTTTGTTAATGTTAAATTTCTTTCTATTTAATTATCAAAATTTCATAATACGTATCCTGAGCTTTACGGATTAACCTGGTTCGATAGTTTAACCCAGTTAACCCATCAATTTGTTTTTCAATTTAGTTATCAAACTTTCATAATATGAATTTCAGGTTTGATGAGTTAACTTAATTTGAAGGGTTAACCCAGTTAATTCAATTTTTTTAGCTAGACCCACATCTAAAATTATTAGATCTGGTATTGTAGTTAAACTCACTTAAATTTATGTCATGCAAATTTAATGTTATTATTAATATTATAAATATTATTTTTGGATTGAGTAGTACAATCAAATTCAAGATTTTTAAATATAGCCTCACTTAAAATTAAATACTTTTAAATTTTAATTTATATATATATATATATATATATATATATATATATAGAGAGAGAGAGAGAGAGAGAGAGAGAGAGAGATGAAGAAAAGCCACCGGACAGCATGTCAATAGATAGGGGCCCAAATCATTAGCAAATGGTCAAACGAAGCGCCTCCCAATGCAGATAGTATAAATAAATATAAGTTGAAAAATCCAGAAGGTATTCCTTTTCGCTTTTGAGAGAATTGAAAAAGGACTCATAAGGTGCATCATTTTTATGAATAATTATGGATGGACGACTGCGTACTGTATAAATAAATAAATAAAAAATATAATTTATGTCAGACCCATACATTGAAATGATTTTAAAAATTAGTTTGAAAAATAACAGTTTTCTAGTATTTTATTCTTTAATAAAAAATTATATTATTTAAGAAATTGATATCTAATATTATAATTATTAGAAATTTTAATTGATCAACAAAGATTCTATGATATGAGATTGATTACACAAAAAAAAAAGATATTATTATTCCTTTAACGTCTTACTTAAGGCAAACTGTATTACTGACTTTGTCATAAATTGCTAATATTTTATTGGTTTATGTTATGCTAGTTTTTGCGTGTAATATTTCTAACTCTAGAGCTAATGAATCTTTTAATTACAGATATTTCTAACTCTAATGTTGGTAAATAATTCATAGCTATAAAAGAAAAAAAAATTTAAATTAGTTTTTTTAATTCCTGACTTTAGTGTCAGTGAATAAACAAATCAAATAAATTTATTTATATGCATCACAAAAAAAATTAAATCAGTATTTTTATTCCCGATTCTGACGTCAGTGAATAAAAAAATTAAAAAAATTTATTTTTTACACATACATATTTTTTATGTAACTAAATAAAAATAAAATAAATTTATATTAGTATCTTTATTCGTGACTTTGGCATTCATGAATAAACCAATAAATTTACTTTATTTTATTTTATTTTTACATGCATATTTTTTATTTTTATGCAATTAAATGAAATATAATGAAATAAATTTGAATCAGTACTTTTATTCTGACTCTAACATTAATAAATAAAAATAATAAATTCATATTTATATTTTTTATTTATACATACACGATTTTTTATTTTTTATTTTTTTTGTATTTTTATTTACATTTTTGAGCTGGGTCTATATTTTTATTTTTTGGGCTGGGCCCAGCTCAGCCCATAGTGGC